CGATGTTGATTCGGGGTCACACAGGGTCATTTAATTCTAATATTGATGCTCGACCGAACCGACTACTAGGCGGATTCATCGATTTCCAGTGTGAACCAGCCGGTTTGATTCGATTTTCAATACATGGATGTTTAAATGAGAAAATAGACTAGCAGCCTGTTAGAGCCTATGACCTGGTCAAGCCAAGCCTGTTAAAAAATAAGCACAAACCCAAGTCTTTTTGAAGGCCTGTTCGGCCTACTAGGTCATGTCTTTGAGAGATGAATTTTATGTATTTATATTAGTTGTGTGGTGAAAAAATAGATAGTGAACTCAGATCTAATAGGTAAGAAGATGATAGCCGTGGAGCCTTACCACTCCACCATTCCGTTTTATTAATTGTTTGTGGTGCATTATTTACAACTCTAAACACAATTATTTAAGCTAGGAAGAAAACGTTACTCTGCCCTCGGGTTTTTCCCGTGTCTTCGACCCTGGTTCAATCGGTTCAATCCCAGGGCCAGGACCTGGCCGCTCACCGCCTCCCACCTGCCACTCTGATCTCCATCTGGTCTCATCGTTCTCACTTCTCAGTTCGTGCTCGCTGGCGCCGCTTACTCTCTGAGTCCGAGCTCGGACGGTCGTGAGTCACAAGCCACTGCATCGCCAGAGGTCTACTCCTCTTGCACTCCAGATCTCCTTCGAATTCATCAATCAGAGTCCCAGTCTCCCATATCTATTGGTCGGTCGTCAATAGGTAGGCTTCCTGTTCCTCGCGCTTTGCGAGTGATGGCTACACTTTGTTTCTAAAATCTGCAAAATTTTAGCTCCATCTTCCTCTATTTAGTGCTTTACAGTAACTGTGGCTATGAGAGATTTTGCTCTGTAGAATTCTTTTCATAACGCTAACGACTGTTCAAGGTGTGGTTGAATTTCCAAAAGGGAGTATGATGATCATCGAACGCCTCGCAAATGTCGTTCGTAATTTATGTCGATTATCTTTTTATTCTTCACCCTATCTATCTAATCTTTTACTGAAGCTTTGCTCTGAAATTCTTCTCAGTAGTCAATACACTCAATCCTGATGGAATGCTGCGATAATCCAGCTTATGCCATATGCTTTGTCCCAATTACGCTATATGCTTTATCCCAAACTATCTTAGTTTTGTTGCTGCTGTATTTTTTACTGACGTGATTCATACTGACCTGGAAGTTTGCTCTCATTATACGTCTTATGATTCAAATCTAAAATAATACTGTCATATGAAGTAACAGGATATTTAACTCGCAAATTCATATCTAAGCATGATATTGCTGATGTCTTGGGTGCGTACCACTGATAACATCCCTAGTTTTAATCCTCATATTCGATTCAAAATTTTAAAAAACATAGTCCTATGCCAACTAAGTCATTACTAGAAAGGATGTGAAGAGTAGCCAAAACAGTAAATGAATTCTATGTCAATCGTATACAGTGCATGCAATCATATCTCATATACAACCACGTTCTTATATGCATATATCCCTTCAAACACACAAATGGGAAATCTCCCTTTCTGTTTAGAGTAGGGATCATAGACCATATGAAAGAAATAGTTCAGAGTATCTGCAAATAGAGAGTAGATATGCCAGTTCGTTTCATAGTGTTTTATGAATACAATTGCCTTTCGCTTGTCTCTACTTTGATGCTTTATTGATGTTTAGAATATGATTATTTCTTGATTCTTCTTGTTTTCCCTTTAGTTTATTCTTGTTTTTGCAATTTTTTTGTTTTCTGGCTTTTTATATCTACACTTAGTCTCCGAAAATATTCGGACGTGATACAACTTTTTGTTAATATTCAAGAAGTTTTGTGATATGATATGTGCCAGTGTTTGCTGTCTGATGTAATATTACATATTATCGTTTACATTACATTACATATATCCGTAGTTAATAGGTCTGTTGACTGACTTTTGTGATTTCAGTGGTTTTGTTGGCTTGAGTTCTGAGTCATAAAAGGAACACAATGACAGAGGAGGAGAAACCCTGTTTTTATGGACGTCTTTATAGCCGGGATGTACTATGAAAGGATGGTTTTTGAGGTACCCTTATCGTTTTAGTAATTTTGAATTAAATTAAAGTGACGTGCACGATGCAGTTTTTATCTTTGTTGAATTTTGCAATTTTAACTATGAGAGCAGAAATGGAACCTAACGAATTATTTTGACCTCCCAGCTATTCTATGACATTACCCCCTACTGCAGAAGATTTCCGTGCGCTTTGTACAGGTAATAATCTGATTTCTTTAATATCCCCTAGTAGAAACCCTCCTGGATTGCTATTACAGTTTCACTAATTAAACAAGCCCTTAGACATGCTAACTTATTTGATTTTTATGATTGATGATATGACTTCCCCATTTCCATTTTAATCATCTCTTTTCAGGAGAAAAAAGGGGTCAGTCCAAATGATACGTTTTGGGTTATGCAAATTGTTTCTTTCACAAGGTTAAGAAAGGTGGCCTCCTATGTGAAGGTATGTACTGGTGGTATGGTTTAAGCCTATGGTACTAAGTTGTCCATCTAATAATACTAATATGCTTTTTAATTTCCAGAACAGTTTTTCTTGCACCTGCTTTCAAGACTATAGATTAATGCTACTTTTCCTTTTGCAGGGAGGCGCCATAAACTACGAAACTGGTAAGTTTCCTATTGATGCAGTGACCTTAGCATCGCACACTTAACTCTTTCTAAATCTTGTAATTCGATACAATACGTTTACTCACATTTAGTCCATTTCTGTCGATGCAATTTTGAACTCTTTCTAATCACTTTACTAATTATTAAATGAAAGTAGATTTATTTTTTATGCATAGCTGGTATTTCAAGAATGGGCCATGATGCTCATTGATTGTGAGTGATGCGTCATGTCATATATTTTATATTACATATTGATATGTTGATTTTAAGTAAATTCTGTATCCATTATTTTCAAATCATTTGGGATGTTAAACTGTAGGATTGAATTAAGACTATCAATTGAAGATTTTAACTAGATCATTGTTTTTTCCCAATTGAAAATGTTGTGGCCTAATATATATTTCTAAATGAGTGGATAAATAGTCTTTCTGTTTGGAAATCCTAAGTTTAAATGGTCACTTCATTCTAGATTTAAATCTTCAATTTGTACAAGTTACTGTTTTATTGCTATGTAAATCTTCCATTGAATGATCATAATTACAATTTTGACCGCAGTTATAAGTTTCATCTGGCCGGATGCCTTGTTTGTTATAATCTTCGAAAATTGCTAATCGTCTCTTCTCCTTCCTGGATGTAATGTCTACTCTTACACCTCTACATCACATTTTTAATCATGTTGCAGGGGAAGATGTTCAAAGTGTTTTTGGTCCATATTTCTTTGGTGAGAATGCTAGATCCTAGATTCATAGTTTAAAAGTTCTCAAAATGTTCATTTCGATGAAAAGTTTCTACATTGTGATTTATTTCAGACGATGGGTCAAATAACTTGAAACATGACAAGGAAGGGCTCCTATCTATGCCCAGAAGAGACTTCAGAGATTGCCGTTCTCACTTTTTGATCACATTGAGAGCTGATGAGAGCCTTGACAGGTTAATTTATATGGTTAACTCTTGTTTTGTCCCCCCCTCCCCCTCAACTAGTTGGGGTGTCAATATGAAATGCTTGATGTGCAAACATTCCATTTGTCGAAATTTCTAGTATGCTAATATATTTGGAACTTGTAGACTCATGTGGTCACCGGGAAGCTTGTGGAAGGCATGGATACACTACGAGAAATCGGACAGACTAGTTTTGACTGGGCGGTTAGAATTGTTGGTTGTGGCATGTTATATAATGGTGAGTTTTATTTTAACAATTTTAGTTCTGTTAATGATAATAATTTTGCATAACGTTAACTGAAAAATATCTGCAGCTAGGGATATTCCTCCTGGAGTGATTATTAGGCCTTTGCCGCGTGGAAAGAGGGATGGGGTCTCCTCAAAGGGCAGGGAAAGACGTGAGGGAAGGAGAAAGAGGATAAAGAACGATGATCGGGATGACTCAAAGGGCAAGGAAAGACGTGAGGGAAGGAGGAGGAGGATAAAGGGGGATGGTCGGGATGACTATTGAGATGACTATTGAGGCCAATGTAAATGGATATTATATTATATTATGTTTATTTTGAAAAAGAAGGGAATTCTGAATTTTAAAGTAAAATTTTATTAATTAGTAATTATTAGTAATTAGTAATATCCCTTATAAAAGTAAAATTACTTGGTATTATTGAGGTACTGCCTATTTGCTATTTGCTTAATTAAGAACAAATTTCCTTTTTCGAAATTTGATACTTTATGTTCTTGTTAAATCAGGGTAATATTTGCTATTTTCGAATTGTTTATTTTGATATTCTTGTAAATTACTTTCTTAGGTTTTGAAGCTTTGTAGTAAATTCCTCTAAATTTTTGCGTTTATAAAAATAATTTTCACACTAATAGTTTGTATTTTATTTATTTGTGTTGGACTTTAATATATGCATAAATTAATACTCCTTTCAGTCCATAATGTAAGATTTAATTTGAGAGTTAATGTTAATCATATATATAAGATTTATTTAACATGTTTACTAATTTTTGGAAATTAACTTTATTGATATTCTCTCAACAATAATTTATAAAAAGAGATGAAGAGAATTAAGAAAGACGATTAAGGCATTTTAGAAAAAAAATCATATAATTTAATTCATGTTGTTCAAATTAGTTAATTAGGTTTTACATTAAGAATTAGATTGGAGGACTACAAAATTACTAGTAGAAGAGTTAGTTGCACAAAGAACACTTTAAAATATTTTTCATATATGTCCAATATCTTAAAATATTTTATAATGTAATTTTTCTTAAATGTTTTTTTTTGAGTTAATTTTTTATGACTCTTTTTTTTTTTAATAAATGCCAGAGTTTAAGGGGATCTATTATAAAGTTTCAAGACCTAAGAAAATTATTTATACAAAACAAAGTTGAGGATGTTATTGCTGCTGCTGTTATTATTATTATTATTATTATTAGAAAATAAGATTTGACTGAGAATTGGCCAATGTGAATGTGTGGTAATAGGCTATAAAAATAAAATGCCGCCGCGATGCTACTCTCCCTTGTGACTTGTCAGCGTTGGCTCCACCGAACGAACAAGCAGTGGAATAAGAGGTAGAGAGGAAAAGCTGAACCCCAATAAATTACAGTGTACACAAAAATACGGATAACTTTTAAAAATAAGCTATGACGCTTTTGAGATATTGTGTAACGGCCTGATTTTATTTTTAATATTAAAAAATTATTAAAAATAATGCAAAAAATTTATAAAAAATTGATAATTACTTAAATTAAATTAAAAAAATTAATATAAAAAGTTATAAAAAATTATTATTAAAATTAAATTAAATTTGAAATAAAAAGACACTCCAGTTTTTGGAAGGGTATTTATAAAATAGAATAGGAGAAGGGGCACCCCATGCCAGAGTTTAAGGGGATCTATTATAAAGTTTCAAGACCTAAGAAAGTTATTTATACAAAACAAAGTTGAGGATATTATTGCTGCTGCTGTTATTATTATTATTATTATTAGAAAATAAGATTTGACTGAGAATTGGCCAACGTGAATGTGTGGTAATAGGCTATAAAAATAAAATGCCGCCGCGATGCTACTCTCCCTTGTGACTTGTCAGCGTTGGCTCCACCGAACGGACAGGCAGTGGAATAAGAGATAGAGAGGAAAAGATGAACCCCAATAAATTACAGTGTACACAAAATACGGATAACTTTTAAAAATAAGCTATGACGCTTTTGAGATATTGTGTAACGGCCTGATTTTTATTTTTAATATTAAAAAATTATTAAAAATAATGCAAAAAATTTATAAAAAATCGATAATTACTTAAATTAAATTAAAAAAATCAATATAAAAAGTTATAAAAATTATTATTAAAATTAAATTAAATTTGAAATAAAAGACACCCCAGCTTTTTGGAAGGGTATTTATAAAATAGAATAGGAGAAGGGGCACCCCACGTAGGCAGGCAAAAGGAAATTCAATGTGAGGGTACCAAATACATATTTTTAATCAAATTTTCTTAAAAATGTTTCTTATATATTGTTAGCTTTAATTTGGTAGTATTATTATAATATTTAGAGAAAATTTTATGATTTAAGTATGACGTAAGTAATGAGTTTTGACAATATATGATCATAAAAATTTAAAAATAAATTATTAATAAATTTTAATTAGTTTAGATTAGTTCATTGGTGGTTTTGAGAATTTTAAATTAAAATTTTAATTATAAAAATTTATTATTCAAGACATATAAAATATTTATACTGATTAAATTTAAGTTAAGTAATTTATTTGAGCTATTTAATACATTATTAAGGTTTTCATTGATTTAAATGTTGCATAGGTTAAAAATATATTGAAATTTTTTTAAAACTTAAGACTTAAATTATAAATTTAAAATTTTACGAAATCAAATAAAATCAAGGTTTATTTATAATTCAAAGGAATTGTTTGCGTTGAGCAAATTTAAATTAGATTAGGATAAAATTTGAGCTTTTAATGTGAAATATTTAGAATTTTGGGTAATAAATATATATTTATTTAATATATTAAATTTAAATCTTGTTATATGAAAACTTTTTATTCCCAAATAATATTGTATAATCTACAAATAGTTAGATCTGTGAGAGTTAATATGTTTATATAAATTTAGTTTAGAGGGTAGTATTAGAATTTTAGAGTAGGTGTAGAATATTTTTAAGTTATATATTAATAAATATTTATGTGCGATTTTGTAGTCATTTGTTGAGAATTTCAGAGTAATCATTGGGGTTATTTGTACGCTCAAGAGTAGAAAGTAGCTCTAAATTCTCTCATGTATATGTAAATAGTGTGTAATTATATTATTGTGGATAAATACTTTTTGATCCACTTAAATTATACTAAATTATATGTGTGTGTATATTGAGTTTTCAAATAAATGGAGTTTTAATAAATTTACTTTTATTCAAGATTATTTCTATAAATTGTTATTAATATTTGAATATTTTAATTAAATGTTAATATAATGAGTAATTGTACCAAAATTTTATTATTCTGTTATTTAGAATAGTAATACATTTTCGGATATATTTTTGATACAACACTATCCGCATATGACATATACATTATTGGGCTAAGGATAGAAAGAGATATGCATGGATATATAATTACCACATGGTATGTTATTACTCCGTGCACAATAGATGACACTTATTAGGGTTTCTTGTTCCATGTTTTCCTTTGGCAAGGAATTTATTGGAACTGCGAGACACACAGCACCTCCTTAGTTTTAATTTTTAAAGGAGGGGAGCCATATATGAACTTGAACTCTATATCTTTGGCGAGATATATCTCAAGTATTGGTCAGCTTGGAATAATCTAGTAAATGGATTGGTTTCTTTTAAACTGTGTTAGCCTATAGCTTTAGTTAATAGTATGAGGATGGACGATGATATAAAGAAGACTACATATTACATTATTTTTAGATACACTAAAAATTGAGATTGATATATTGTTGAATTAAAAGTGAAATTGAATTGAATGTAAAATCGGTGATATCCACACACAAATATATATACACATATAATTGAATTTTTATTAATCATATATGGTTTGCCTGTGCATGTTAATTTTATTAGTTACTAAGACATTAGATTTCATCACTTATATTAACAACTTTAGGTGAGGGATCTAGTAAGAATAAAGGGAAGGCATTGATAGAGTGAGCCATGAAGGCTTATGTACTCCTTAAGCATATGTTATGTGATATTTTATTTTTCATGACTATAAGAGTTTAATATTTTATTTTAGTTAAATCATCTCAAGGATTTGTTTGGAGAAATACTTATGGATTATTGAAGTATTTTTATTTAGTATATATGAGATTGGTATCAAATCTATAACGTTTCATAGATTTTTATTTGACTTGTGTGAAATATCTTTTTCTAAAAATTTTGAAGAAAAATTTCTCGAGGTCATGAAAATTTAGATATAATAACATGTGTACTTCCTTTTATTTTAGATTGATGGTTATTTTAGTAACATTATTTAGTTTACATAGTGTCCTTATGCTATCCTACATAGGAGAGAATGGTGACCACTCAAAGGACTAACTCTACCCTTGTTTCATATCAAGATGCTCCTTCTTGCCAAGATAATAATGCTATTTTTTTGAGAGTTACAAGATTATGAGCACTAATCAGAGAGTAAAGAGACACGAGAATGAAGTGGTGGCAATCAAAGGTTAGGGTAAGAGCCATCAAGAGGAAAATGGTCATGTTGATGATAAAGCTCTTAGTGACATCAATAGTTGATACCCTTAGAGGCACTGAATTAAAAGGTAATAGCAGTGTACATTCACAACATAGCCTCATATGTATCACCCTTCTCTAGGAAAGTTTTAGAAAGTTTGATCCTCTTAAGTTTGAGGGCAAGCTGAATCCATCTGAAGCTGAAGAATGGATCGATAGGTTGGAGACTATATTCAGAATAGTAGTTTGCACCTTATAGGAAAAAGTGCAAG